GGCTCTATTAGGTGGCGGTCCTGACGCTGGGTATGGCCATGACCTCCCAGGCCTGGCGCAGGTTGGTGGACTGGAGTCTGCAGGTGACCGACTGGAGCCGAGGAGGCAGAACAATGAACCAGGAGAGCAACCAACGAGGGGCCGCTGCGCCTGCCCTGAGACCAGCAGCCCCTGGCAGGCTGACACTGGCAGGGGTTGGCCAGCTGCTAGCCGACCAGGAGGACCAACTGGATATGGACCAGGTACCACAAGCACGTCCTGCTCTGAGTCGAAGTGCCATGGCAGGACAGCGTCTCCAGACACCCAGGGAGGAACCGAGCACCTCTTGGGGGAAAGCTCCAGGGAGGCAGCAGCTGAACGCAGCAGCTGGGGATGGTGAGGGCACTCCGGATGATGACCCCTGGATGCTCCTGAAAGAACAAGAGGAACGTAAGAAATGTGTCATCTGTCAAGACCAAACCAAGACAGTCCTGCTTCTGCCCTGCAGGCACCTGTGCCTGTGTCAGGAGTGCACGGAAGTCCTCCTGCAGCAGGCCATCTACCAGCGCAACTGCCCACTTTGCCGCCAGATGATCCTCCAGACTCTCAATGTGTACTTGTGAACCCAAGGGGTGGGTGGCTTGGGTCATTTTCCCAGAAGGTCAAGGGCAGCCCTGTCTCTGCTTCTTGCCAGGAAGCTGAACTTCCCAGGGCTGCCTCAAGCAGTTTCCAAAGAACTAAGGATGGTGCTGGAGCTAGCTAGCACGATAACTGATCTTTGCAGCAGGCTGAAGGTTACCTTTTTTTGTGTTGACAACTTTTGCTGTTTCAGGTCCTGTTGCCTTGAGCCTGCAGCAGTCTGAGATCCAAAGTAGAGTACAGAAAGATGCTCTGGTCCCTCCTAGCCAAAGCTGATGGAAAGATTAAAGGCTGTGCCCTCCTGGGAATCACAGGGGCTGGTGCAAGGCAAGGGAGGGTTTTTCCCAAGGTCTGACCCAGAAAACTACGTGGCAGACTGCATTCAGACCTCTGTTTTCTCATCCCACCATCTAAATGGGGGATCTCCCTGGGAAGGGAGAAGTGTGCCCCTCTTGCAAGACCTTAGGAGAGCAATGAGCACACTCATGGTTTTTAGGCTTTGCTACTGGAGGGCTGAGCCTGGCTCCCAGATGGAGAACAGCAGCGTTTCTGGGGTACTTCAGTATTCCAGCCACCGTGGTTTTGATTTTTGAGCTTCCTATTCCCCTTGCCAGGAATAATGAGGAGCCACGATGAACGTGAGCTCCCTGCAGGCCAGCTGTCTACAGAGCTGCCGCTTCCACACATCACCTATGCAAGACTAGCAAGCACACATCAGGTTACTCGCCGGGGGAGGCTGGGGGGAGTTACTCTTTCTGCAGGGGTGGTGGTGCTGCTCGGGGAACCTGAGGGGTGGTTGGCTGGCCAGTGCTCACAGCCCTGGCAGCAGCCACATGTGTCTGAGCCAATGCTGGAGAATCCTCTCTAGTCAGTACATATTTTCTTCAGGCTCAGAGTGCCACAGAACTGGGTGATTCACAGCAGTGCTTGCTTGCTGCTTCCCAGGCTGGGCTGGCTAGAGGGAGTAATTCTTTGGGAGGAGAGCAGACACCCAAAAGCTCCTGGGAGCCCACTGAGACATTCCAGCTCCAGGCACAAGTTTTGCATATCTGTGGTGCTGATCTGAAGTTGTGTGCATGGAGCAGTACCAGGACCATGGCTATCTTTGATTAGGGCAAGGTTACACTGATGTTCTGTCTTACTGTCTGTCAGAAATGTAGCTAGTTTTATTTAAGAGAGTCCCCTGAAGTCTAATGAGGGCATCTGATCCTGGCTGGGGAGGCCTGAGATGGCTCATCCCAGCTTGGTCAACCAGCACCATTCCAAGAAATTGCTGGGCTGCAAGAGAGCCTTGCACTGAAAAGCTTTTCCTTTCCCAGCTGCTTGCCTGAGGTCAGCCATGTGCCACAGCCAATTTTGTCTGGAGCCAGACTGGAAAGAGTCTTCACTCCTGGACTGCAAGCCAAGAGCCTGAGGGCAGCTGGCATGGTCTTCCTTCTCTATTCTCCTTCTGATTAGTGATTTCAGCCAGAACGGAGGCAGCAGAGAGGCCAGGCCATGCTGGGAGATGCTTCTGTGCTGTAAACCTGAGCTGTGGCAAGATACTACCTTGTTGGAGAGTGAGTGGCTTTGCTCTGGGAGGCACTGCAGGGGCTGGTTGCCCCCATGTTTGCTAAAAGCTGGAGGGACTCCCTGGGCCCAACTGGGCTCCTGAGCACTAATGGGTGTTAGAATGGCCTGGCCCCAGGGCTGTTGTCTGTCTCCAGCTTGCTTCGCAGAGATGCAAAGCTGCCCAGGCCCTGTTGCTCAGCATCTTGTCCTTGTGCCTCCCCCCCCATGGTATTGTTTGCTCTCCCCAGCCCCCTCTCCTGTGGCTGCAGCCTGTTGAGTAGACAAGTCCTTGCCAGAGCCGTGAATGCGACCCCGCAGGCTGCATTCCCCAGCGTCCAGCTTGTCCCAAGCACCTGCAGAGACCCTCCTGCAAGAGGAGACAGGGAGCTGCAGGCTTCCCAGGGTGTGCCTTCACCTGGGAGTGGGCGTGGGGCTGTGCTCCCGGCTGCAGGCAGCGGTGGTTGCTCTGGACCAGTTCTCGGATCTTGGGGTGCAGTGTTTGCTATGTGAATTACAGGGGGGAAGGACACCTCCCCAGGACTGCAGTTTCTCCCCTCAAACCCTTTTTCTATTATAGCAGTCACTTTTATTGTTTTGGGGCCTGTTTGCTGCCTGTTTATAAAAAGAAGAGAAAGCTTTGCCTTAAGTTTAACTCTTTGCACTATGGACTAGTTACTGAACAGATTAAAGTCTCCTTTACCAAAAACTGCTTGCTGCCTCATTCTTGGGAAGGGTTTTCTCTGGGGGGGTTGGGGTGTCCTCTCTGCTCACCCCTGGCTCCAGAGGAAGCCCATCGCTCCCCACCAAGGGTTAGAGCTGGAGGGCCGACACCACCAGCAAGCTCAGGGGTGCTTCTCTGGGAGTGCTCGCACCCAGAAAGGCAGCGCTGTGGGACACCCTGGAGCACAGGAAAAGCCTGGCATTCAGGAGTTGAATCCCCATGTGAACGTACAGTGGGTGGGCTTTCTGGGGCTGGCGTCCCCCACCCCTGCTCTACTAACCCACAGCAAGAGGAGGTGGCTGGGGATCTGCCTGTGCAAGGGGGCAGAGGGTGCAGCTTGCAGCGCACCAGTGCTATTATCTGCGTCTTGCCTAGAGATGTGTTTGGTGCTGCAGCCTCTTCTGGGCTCAGGAGCAGGCAGAGCGGCTGGGGGAGCTCTTGCCTACCACGCCTCGG